GACATATTTGTGGATGAAATATTATATAAGTTTTCATTTCTTACCTCCTGACAGAGAACACATTTTTCACTATCGAAAGTGCTTCTACTAGGCCTCATCATATGCGTGGTGGAATTTTTTGATGACACAACATTAACTTTTTTTTTCAGTCTTTCTAAGTTAGTTTTATTCGTAAGTTCTGAATAACATTTTCTATGATAAGTGGGTTTTTTGGCAAGCATATTTTCTGTTTCACATTCACTAAATAATTTTTGTAATTTTTGAAGAACAATATTTTTATCGCCATATTGCACTCTTTTTTCCACTGCTATTTTAATTTTAGACAATGAATCTTGTGTTGCTAATACGTCCTGACTTTTAATAACGCGCTTTTGACACACAAAACAAACACTAAAATCAAATGCCATTTTCCACGGATAATATCTAAATATATATAAATATGTATAGACTAAAAATGATTAAGGTAATCAACAAAGTCTTAACCTATTTGAATTTGGAAGCATTTATTATAGATATTATTTATATCGGTCAATGCGAAAAAGCTCGATTTCTATGGGCGCGCCGGGAACGACGCCGACGGCGCCACGTTTTCGTATTTGTTGAGCGTAGCAATGCCGCTCATCCTATTTTTTACACTTTCAGTAGTATAATTGTATCAACCTCTAATAAATTATATATAATTTGATTCAGCAGAAAATTCTGTGCATTTTTTATCTGAAACTTTTCTCTGGAAAATTCATAATTATAGAAATAAAAATGGTAAGAAAAAAATAATTAAAAAAAAAAATATGTTTTTTTTAAAATTTTTGGGGAAATTTCCTTTCAATATAGAATATTTGTAGTTGAAACATTTTTTTTATCAAAATATAGACTTTCCCAAATAATTTCTTTTTTTAAAATAAAAAATTGATCAATTAATAATGGAGATACGAATTTTTCAAAAATTGCTCCATCCGCGATCTTGACGTGGCTGTTTTTCGGAAAAAAATAATTTACAGAAATGCCAACATACCATTCGGTAATCTAGTAGTCCCATATTTTCATAAAATAATGCATTTTCAAACTTAGCACGAGATCGAAGCGAGCGGCCGTTTTTGAGCCCTATGATAATAGACTAAATAGGTACCTACGTATATTGTTGAATTCTGAGTTGAAATTAAGCCATTTTTGAGAAAGATCGTCCGGTACCTACTTCTTGATCCCACAATAACTTTAAAAGCCAAACTGATTGTAACATAATTTTTGCGACTACAATTAATGGCCCAAGAAGCCTTAAAGGATCAAAGATTTTCGCTATCATAGATAAGATCAGACGTTTGGTAATCTTTTTGATGTTAGTTGAAGGACTTATATGAAAGGAGAAACAGTCATGTTTGCATGACCAAAGTAAACCGAGAGTTTTCCCATTCTCCGAGCAAGAAAAGTAAAAGGAATTTATTGAAGTGATTTTTGATTTTAAATTATTAATGACATCTTCGGAATTGGATCTCCATTTTCGCAATTCGAAACCCGTTGATTTTAGTATAGAAGAGAGTTGATTACATATGGCAATGGTATCACTTACTGAACTACTACCAGATAGTACGTCATCAATATAGAAATCTCGATGTAGTACTTGATCTGTTTGAGGATTCGAGGATTCAGTTTCTAGTGCCAATTGTTTTATACAGCGAGTGACTGAGAATGGAGTACTTGCTATCCCATACGTGACAATGTTTGATAATAAAGTCAACAGCTCATTTTCGGGGCGTTCTCTGCAGAAAATAAGTTGTAAAGGTCTAAAATCCTCCTTCACCAAAATTTGCCTATACATTTTACAAATGTCAGCAGTGAAAACGTAGGTATATTGACGGAATCGAATGAGAATGGATAGTAGATCATCTTGGACAACTGGTCCGACCATTTGAATGCTATTGTAAGAATGTCCAGTTGAAGATAAAGCACTACTAATGAAGACAACGCGAAGTTTTGTTGTATTTTTTTACATAGATTTTAATTTTAAATTGGAAGAAAACTTTCTCTTCATGCTGAAAAATTGCCTTTATGCATTTAGCTTAGGATTCACTAAGTATACTAGTTGGTTATTTCAATGGTATTGAAACCACCAAACGACCTTCTGAGTTTCGATAAAAGGTATCTGAGAAATGTTTCTCAGCAAGAATTTCTTCGTTGGATGGGATAGCATCGGTGGAGATCTCTTCCATTTCTCAGAACTTGGCCAGCTGACTTTGAATACATAATGTGTTTGTGAAGTCAGATGAGGTGACCTTTGGAACTGCTTTCAACTTTGTTACATTAACAGGACCTGATATGATCCAGCCCAGCTTAGTGTTTTGGATAAATGGCATGTTTTTTCCTAAAGGAACGGATTCAGAAGACATTAATTTCCAAAAGGTGTCAGCACCTATTTAATGATCTATTTCACATGGTTTGAAGAATTCTGGATCTGCAAGTCAAACGTAATCGGGAATATCAAAGGCATCTGGATTGATATATGCCATTGGAAGTTTACCAGTGATTTCTGGATTTAATAACCACTAAAGTGGAACAGTAAATTTCGAATGAAACAACTAAACGTTAATGTTGCAAGAATATTTCAAATGTGACTCTGAATTACCTATACCTTTCACTGCAAAGTTGATCTTATATTTAGGAATTTTCAATTTGTCGGCAAAGTGACTGAAAATGAAGTTTGACATGGAACCGTTATCGAGTAAAGCCCTGCAAAAAAAATCAGTACCTTCACCATCTGAAACCTTCACCAGAGCGGTTGCGAGCAGAACTTGACCCGACGTTTCATAATTACAACCACTGTAAACTGAAGTAGCTACTTGATCCTCCTGATTATTATCTAAACGCGAATTTTCCAGAAGGACCGGAGCATTGACTACAGAAAGAACATGTAACAATAAATTGTGTTTTTCACTACTTTTTTTGCAATGACCATACTTTCAACCCTCCAAAGAATGACCACGCTGCAGACAGTTCGGACACAACCTCAGTTCCAAAACCTTAACTCGTCTTTGAGATGCTGTAAGAGAAAGAAATTCAGAACATTTATAAATTCTATGTGGTTTTTGACATAAATAGCACGAGTATTTAATTTTGTGAACTTCATTAGCTGTAGAATTACCTGAAAATGCCTTGTTTTCTTGTTCACCTAGAGGTTTGCCAGGGGATTTAGGTTGAGTTTTATACATACTTAATTTTTCTAAGAAATCGACCTTGCTTGATAAAAATGTTTTGAATTCATCAAGTGTAGGTAATTTAGCCTTAAATTCCTGCTGCTCCCACTCTCTAAGTGATTCTACATCTAACTTGTTGGTGACTAAGAATATAACTAGAGGATCCCATGTGGTGGTCTGAATACCCAAATTTTCAAGACATTTTAAATTTTTTGACAAGGAATCGACAGCAAATCGAAGCCTCCTGAGGAGTCTGACTTTATATCATCAATGTTGAAAAGTGCCTTCAAATGTTTATGCACTAGTAGGTTTTTCTTGTGAAACCTACCACACAAAATATCCCAAGCAACACTGATGTAGTTTTGCTCAGAAAAATCAAGAGCACTCAAACACTGAACAGCAGAACCCTCCAAATATGAGCGCAAATAATGAAACTTTCAATGGTTGTTAAAGCGGAATTGTTATGTATTAGCGAAACAAAAAATCCTTAAATTCAAACCATAGCTCGTATGCTCCTGAGAATTTTGGCAATGTTGTTTTTCGAAGACTTGCGCCTAGTGGTCGATTAAAGGATTGAATACTGCTGTTATGAGTAGGTTGTACTCCTATTGGAGCACTCCTTGATTGAAATAAATTGTTCTGCTTTTGAAATTATTGAAAAATAATGGCTAGCAAAATTCTCTAAGTCTGAATCGTCATAGTTAGCTGGGTCCAAGCCCTCCAATTTGGAATTGAACGCGGAAAATTCTTAAAGTAAATGAGATTCCAAATTGTCTATTCGCAATTGAAGTTCAGTTAATTTTGAATTTTCGAACTTTATTTACTAGGATTATGTTATAATGATAAGTGCATGTTGAGGTAATGTTCGAGCACGGGTTCGTAAATGGTTTTGATATTACCACTGCTGGAAGTAAAATAAGAAGCATTAGACATGCTTCATGGTCTTTATCCGCTAACTCAGACAGTAAATTATTTGATGCTCCTAGAGCTTTTCTGCGTGAAATCCATTTTCGTACCAGATCTTGTGTTTACGTCCCTTGTTCTTGTTTTTCCGTATCTTCTGCAAATCTAGTAACAAAATTTCTACAACAACATTAAAATCTGCTAGAACCTCGTCAGTTGACGCCATTTTTCTACTGCGCCAGTTAAAAATTTCTGATATCAAGTGGAAACAGATACTGGCGCCACTAAGATTGCACCAGCAAACTGGCACCAATAAACCATGCTTGTGGAAACGCCGCTCAAGTGGACTCTGTTACATTCTTGTTACAAGAAGTTCTTGAGCTTTCGCATCATCCTTGAGCCACTTGTTTAAATCATTCCTTGCTGCTAAAGGTTTTAATCTGGAACCATCCAAAATGTCAAAGTATCCTCTGCGCTTTTGAAATTTCCACACTGACCAATTTTTTTTTCGTTAATTTTAGTGTCGTAGGGTAAACCACTCATTTATTGGACACTTAAGATTTTTTTTTAAATCGATAACATGTCCAAATTTTATTTTCAGGTCTACGGACTTGAGCAAATACCTAAAATGACACTTATTATATGGCCTTCAATTATCTTTATTGATATTAACTCTTTGATGGATATTTTTTTTACAGGCAAATAACAAATTACATGACAAAATAATTAGTTATTGGACATTTTTTTCAGTGATTGGACAAAATCAATTTAGTTATTAGACATGGAAACGATGTTTTATTTTTCTTTTATTCAACACAAAAAATGAATATTATTATCAGTTTACAATACGATTTTATCATTCTTATCTATCTAATAATATTTGGCACATTCATCTTTATACAAAGAGAATAATTAATCTATTTCTTCCTCCTCATTTTCATCAGTTTTCTTCTTTTCGTCTGAACTTTTATCATTTAAATCATTGTCGTTTTTGTTTTGATCTATTTCTAAGTTATCTTCCTCTTCATTCTCATCAAAATCTTCACTATCGGCTCCATCATCGCTTTCCTCCTTGTAACAAATGTGACACATGAACAGATCAACATCTTCTAAGTCGGGAACGTGGTTTTTGTGTTTCTTGGGAACGCAGTGACGATGGATATATTTTTTGCAACTATCACATTTAAAGTAGTGGCTATTTTTATATAGTTGTTTAGTGCATACAAAACAATTGCCATTAGTTATACCATCAGCTGACTTACGAACTCTTTTAATTTCCAAATTTGCTTTGGCTGCAGCCTTTTCTTCTCTCAATCGTTTCCTCTCCAATTTCTCACTCTCCTCTTTTAATTTAAGCGCGCGTTTGGCTTCAAAATTTTCTTGGTAAGATCTAGAAGTTATGGCAAACGAAACACGCTCTACATCCCGCTTCTTCTTTCGCTGGGGTTTGTCTGGTATCGTAAGGAAATCACTGATACATCTTTTACTGGTTGATGGTAATAATGAAGTAGCTGCATCAGTTTTATCTATTGAAGGTGTCTTCAAAGTTTCAGGCAATTTTATATTTCCAAAATTATTAGTTGCAATATCAGTTGAATTCGCAGATTCTTTTACAGGATCTAATGGATTAACGCTAATTCTTTCATCAACATTGATATTTTCCAAATGTAAAGGCCTAGTTTTTGTTTCTGGTCTGCTTCCTGAAGTATGAATAAATATACTAAAAGGGTCTGAAGTTTCACAATCTGATCTGATCGGTTCTAATGGGTTAATGTTGATACTTTCATTAACATTGATATTTTCCAAATGTAAGGGCCTAGTTTTTGGTTCTGGTCTGCCTCCTGGAGTATGAATAAATATACTAAAGGGATCTGAAGTTTCACAATCCCCAGTGATTTTGGAAAGTTTGGCATCACTTTGTATATTTTTTGATGGACCGGGCTCGTTTAATTAAACTAACGCTTCTGATCTAGTACTGGCCTCTTCCAATTCACTGGAATGTTCTTCGTTTTCATACTCCATAACTTCCATGTTAACTGTCTCTACGGCATCGTCTTCCTTATCAGGCTTTCCGAAATAATTCCACATTTGATGAAGTATAAGAAATTCATTGTTCAATCCTTCTTTGAATAATATTGCATCAAATGATTTGAATTTTCTTATAAGCTCATTCCCTATGAAGTTGGTAAAAGTTTTATTATCCATTGTATCGGGATGAGCATGCGTCTCCTGAAATTTTTTACAAATTACGCGTGAAACTCAAGCGGAAGAAATTACAAGAAATCTACTCATATCTGGCACAGGTTTATTAATTTTCCCCAAACACTTCGAATAATCTATAGCATTAGCATTGAAGGGAAATAATCCACATGCTTTAAATCCATTTTGAAACATCTCTGGCTTAACAACATTCTTCACTACAGTTTCTAAAAGTGGAGCGAAGGTCATTTTGTCAAGAACTTGCTCTGGATTTCCTTCATAAAATTCCCTAACAGCTTTCTTCCAGCCAATTTTTATAGGTCTAAATACGGCAACATCACATGGCTGCAAAATTCTAGTTGCATTCGGATACAAAGCAATAACTTCAATATTCAATTCATTGCAGAGTAGGCTAAGTTCATGAGTCCAGTGGGACTTATGTCCATCCAGAAATAATATAACAGGAAAACGCACATTGTTTTCAACTAAATGCGGATGAAATATGTTTTTTATGTAATCATAGAATGTCTCTGAAGTCATCCAACCATTATCAGATCGGCCTATTCCCCATTTCCCCAAGTAGAATTAACTGTTGCTGCTATTTTTTCAGGAATTCTTTTGTATGGGTAAATTATCATTGGGAGGCATGTCATTCCAGAGGCAGAAAAAGAGAACATAACAGTAAGATTTTTCTTTTGAGATCCTTTATCTACAGCATAAACGTTTTTTACGCCTTTTCCAGCAAAAACTTTACCAGTGCTCGGGCAGATTTGGAACCCTGTCTCATCCCCATTATACCTATATTCGAGAAGGATCGTCTATATTTATGTTTTTAGACTTCAAATAACCTCTTATCTCATCAAACCATTTTCTGATGTCTGCTTCTGATACACAAGCACTTGCTGAACTAACAGCTTTGCTAGTTCTCTGCACAATTGTGGGGTGCCTCCTTAGGAAAGCCTAGGTAAATGGGTAAAATTAAAGTATTGAAGAAACCAAATGGCATTAAGTTGTATGTACCTTAAACCAACATTCACCAGGTCTGTGATTTTTAAACGGATTGGGTCGTGGATTCTCTATCAAGAATTGTTGAACACTATTTAAAATGTCATCTTTTTTTCTTGGGAATCCACGATTTACAAGTTCTTCTATCCACCCAGAAGGAGAGATGTTGAATTCAAATACAAATCAATATAAATACTGTCAATTGACTTACGTTACTAGCTTAGGTTCCTCTCTTAAAGTCAAAATAGGCGATGGACCGTAAGTATCTTTGTGCCCAGGATTTTTTAATTTAAAATCCAATGTTGATTTTGGCACGCCATATTTTTGTGCGGCTGCTCTAAGTGATAATGTATTGCTTTCAACTTCATAGAGGTAACATCTTATATGCTCTTTTTTGGCATTATCAACAACTAACACAAGATCCTAAATTAAAAGTTTCAGTTATTGGACAGTTTATTATTCATTTATGGGACACGCGTCCAATAACTAGTTAGAATCAAAATATCTGAAAAAAATATACATTGAAAGAAACAGCGTGAAAAGTCTGAACAAATGCTGCTTAAAACTGAAAAATCTTGTTGAATCAGTTATTGGACAGATGTCCAATAACTGAAAAAAAAGTATTTTTGAATCCAGTTATTGGCCTCCCCTGTATTCGAGTCCAACAAAACATATCGGGCCAGTGAAGCTGTAAATCTTACCTTTTCATATAAGTGAATACACATAAAATATCAGGTTTTGATACACCTCTGCGATTTATACTAAATTAGCACAATAATTACGCACAACCGGCCTTAACGAAATTTAAAAAATACACCAACTTCTTACACCTCCATCGAATACCAAAAAACGCGGGAAATAAAAAGCTGCGCACGCCTTTGCCGTTATTGTCAAAACTTGTCAAATGTATGGTAGTACCATCTCTGAATAGTCAGAAGAACTAAAGGTTCGTAGGAATCTTGTTTTTGGGTATTAGATTAAAACTGTCCGATAACTGAGATCAGTGGTTATTTACCCTATCGCTGTTCATTTTTTCGTTTTTATTATTTTTTGTTGTTTTTATGCACAAAGGCTAAACTTTCCTGAAACTAACAGAAATTTTCTGCCGAAATTGTCAGTTTTATATGCCGAACCAACTAATCCCGTTCAATCTAATCCCTCAAACATTTTCTTCAACAAAAATAAAACGCTTCTCAATTAAACCAGGAGTTAGACGGAAATGAGTATGCAAAATGTGAGGACCGGCAAAAATGCTCCTGTGATCCTAAAGAATGGGAAAGTACATGTTGCCGGCAGCTGGAGTGGTCCCTAACTCTCCTGCCATTCCCCAATGCAAAGTTATATTGAAAATATCACAATTTCATGTCATTTCACAATAATAAAAGGCTTTCTTTCCAAGGACTCAAAATAAATTACCTACAACTTGTTGGATATCTTTGCAATTCTGCTCCGAAATATACACAAGTAAAAGAAGACTGCGAGATGTACAGGGTCATCCAACAACGACTGAACAGGGGCTTATTTTTGACCTTCCCTGTTCCTGTAGTTTTGAAAAAATTCAAAATAGCCATTTTTTTTGTGGAGAATACAAAAATGGTACAAAAAAATCACCATTTTTGAATTCTCCAGAAAAAAATATGCCAATTGTAGTTGGGAATCTGACGCCTCCTAGGAAGCCTTTTAAAGATGCTCTATACAAGTCGCGAACATCCACCTAAAAAACATGAAATCCTATGTAAAATGACCTGCCGGATTCGAATTTCTTGTTCGCCCCTTTGATCCGGAATTGCGAAATGTGTCAAAACATGACATTTTTGAAAAAACTGAAAATTTCAATTGAAATAATTTTTTTTGAAAACTAGTGCTTAACTTTGTTAATTGATGTCCGATTGTTATGAATTTTGGATATGATATTTTTCAGTACTTCCCTGACATAGTTTCATAACAATAGAAAACATAGAACGTCACATAAAAGCTACGTAATTTTTTTTTCGCCAGATGACACAAAATATCGTCATTTTGCAGCGTTAAATGGTGAGTCGAGGAAACTTTTTTATCTTTAGAGATAGATACCTAGTATAAGCGAGAAAAATGTTGCCAATAGAGTAAAGAAACTTTTTTACTAAAACTTTTTTTCCATACGACGTTTAGTTTGAGGTGTATTCTTTTTTAAAAACCGAAGAAAATTGACTCGCCGCGTCTCAACTCTCGGCATTGCCGGTGAGCGGGGTCTCAGGACGCGGTGCAGCGGCTAAAGCGATCAGTGTGTCAAAGAGAGTTAACACCACAGCCTTCTTCACATGTGCAAGAAAGATAACGCGACGACACCGACGGCAGAAGCGTTCCTTTTGAATTTCATTTTGTTTTTCTCCCGCTTATGTTTGTTATTATGAAAGACATGAAGTACCTACCCACAGATTAACTCGTCCTAATCTGTTAATCTGTGTACCTAAATATCATAAGTCAAAATATCAATTTCAACGAGTGTATTTTGTGTCAATCAAGTAATTAGGAAACGGTACAGAGTGTCACAAAAGAAGCCGTACCTACATTTCCTGTTTCAAGCATGTATTGTCATTGAGAAAGGCGATCGTTATTCCATAGCTCTTACGGCCAATTTCATGATCAACTTAAAGTAAACTTTCCATTTGAAGTTGAAAAATCCTATCCTAAAAGTCTAATTAGCTAAAGTAACTTTCAAGTAATTCTCTATTATGAAATTGGCCGTTAGATACTATGCTGACAAAAGAGAACTGTTTTTATCATTAAATCCTGTTTATCACCCTAAATTCTAAATGTAAACGAGCTTATACCAGGAAAGCCTACAAGAAAAGATCTGAACCAGAAGAAGGTGCTTCAAAATGTACTAGTAAGCAAATTAAATCCTCTTATTCAAAGATTTGCATAATATGCAATAAAATTCGCGATAGTAGGGGTTTGAGAAGACTCAATCAAATACTGACATTTGATAAGCAAAATGAAATATGGAACATGGCAAAAACAACCATCAAGTTTTGCATTGAATTCAAGGATTTGGTAATAATTATATTAACATGATTGCTCACGAATGTGCATATCAATCGTATCATAGTCTGTGTTTCTTGAAACTATTCCAAAAATCAAAATCAGAAGTAAATTCCCTACAAGAATCTGAAGTACTTTCGTTTGGAACTATTTTTATTAAAATTCAATCTTATTATAGAAAATGCCCTATTTATAGAAAATAGGGTCTTCACAATAGAAATCATCCTACATAGGGAAGCAAAGTTATGGAACGTTGAGTGAACTGCACAATATCCATCGTCAGGAGAGATTATCAATAACCTGCAAAGTCTTTTTGAGAGAACAATGGGCTCTTTCACTAATTTTTGAAATTGGCATATTTGGATAAAGCAACTAAAGACAGAATTTTCTGTATTTTTACTTTTGAAAAATTCATAGTCCTTCTTGAGAAAACAGAAAAAAAATAATTACCTCCAAATAAGAACCCAGAATTTATTTCTATGACGTCGCAGCTCGCAATTTGACCGTGTTGCCACTAATTGTCGACATTGAAAATTTGTAATAGATTTAATTCTGAAATGTTCGCAAAATATCATGAAAAGTAGTTAAATTAATCACTTATGGATTCAAGATTTTATAACTTTTTTATTGAAATTCTGTTTAAACACAATTTAATACAATTTTTTATGTTTAGTTTTATTTGATTTTTTTACGTTGCACTACATCTAGTCACCACCGACAACAGCGCATTCGAACCTTTACCTGCTTTTACAACAGGGTACACAGCCGAGGCGGTAAGCTCCTTGTAACAACAAGCGAAATGAAAAATATTTATGTGACGTCAGCAAATCGGCGCGTTTTAATTTAATTTGAATTTAGCCAATTTGAAATGCCTGTAAAAAACTTATTTAACCTTGTAGAACTTTTTTTTTGGTATATATGCCTAAAATAGTCCCGCCTTTGGGATTTTATACTTAAATTACGTATTCAAATTTTAGTGAAAAACCCCATTATGGTTGTTC